GTGGATGTCAGCCCCCTCGCCGCCCATCAGTCTAAGGGAGGGTCCAGTCCCGCCGCCAGCATGACGGCGGTGGCTTGGAGGGTTCGGTACGGAAAAGGAGTCTTGGATCATTAAAACACCGTTTGGGGCAGCACCGAAAAGAAGTCGTGGGTCAGTGAAGTACCGTGCGGGGCAGCGGTTGTTTAACAGCACCGGATATCCGCAACGGCCACTTAACAACGCCTAAGGGGCCCTCCCAAAGCCCCTTAGGACCCCTCCTAGAGCAACCCCTCTTACAAACCTAAACCAACCCAATGAATGAGGAGGATCCATCGGTCACCAAGGTTCAGATTTGATGTTCTTGGGAGCAGAAAAGGATACCAAGTGGTTCCCTTAAGGACAGTGATTGCAGAGAGGGGCAACACCAATCTTTCCAGGCAAAAAAAAAAAAAAAAAAAAAAAAAAAGAAGAAGAAGAGCACCTTTGACATTAGTAATCAAATCAATGAATGGTAATGCAATGAGTCGATGATTATGTGAGCAATGCACCACCATTGCGTAGCAAGGAGATTGCGCAGTCACGGCACCAACACAAAAAACAATGCAAGCGGAAGAAAAAAGCGTCATTTAAAATTTAATCGGTGGCCTAAAATTTTATAACTTTGATGGGAACCTCCAGTTTTCTCTTTCTCGAGCTCCTCCCCGCACCTGCGTGATCACCATCATCATCGTCCTCATCTTTACCATCGCCGCCACTATCAAAATCTATGCTGACCATCTTCTGCTTCTTCTTCTTGTCCTTTTTGGCTTTTGTAGTGCCCCCAAGGATGCCATCCTCGAAACCCAATCGCGCATCTAAATCCAGATCCTCATCGTCGTCCTCTCCCAGAACAATGTTGTTCCCTCCTGCAGCAGACTCTATGTTCCCGTCCAAACCGCCGAAATCGTCACCAAGATCGTCGCCACTGAACTTCGTAATCTTGTTCGCCGCACACGCCGCCTTCCCTTCTTTCGCTGTACACATTCCCACACAGCCAAAGTTCACATAACACATCAGAGCAAAATCAATGTGTGTCATTGTCTCATTGTCCTCTAAGACATCCGTTACAATTGGAACGATACAGAGAAGATTAGCATTCGCCCTCTCCGCTAGGATGACACACACAAATCAAGAAATGGTCCAATTTTTTTTTTTTTTTTTTTTTTTTTAACACGCCCCCGTCAGTGTTAGTGGTGCTGATAAGAGCAGGTCCAAATTTTGAATTAAAAAAAATAAAAATGGATGTGTCATCACTCTGGTAGCAAACCATATGCGTTGCTATCGAAATGCATCACACCTAATTCTTGACGACACACACAAAAGATCAAAAAGTTACAAAACACTTTGAGAACTCTTTCAGAACTGTTTTTTTTCTTCTTCCTTATGACACGAAGTCATTCCGTAAAAGGGTAAACCGAAGACAGCGAACAAAACTTCTAAGCTCTAACCGAACAGATCTGCAGATTTTTTATTTTTATTTTTATTTTTAATTCCGCTTCCTATAACATGACCAAAAATTCTATTTGCTGAGAATTGCCTTGTGGTAGGGCATTCTTTTTTTTTTTTTTTTTTTTTTTTTTGCGGTAGGGCATTCTAAGGCCTCCAGAGACGAACGAAGCATGAAAAGCACATACACCATCATCAGCCCCTTCTAATCACACAGTATTGGAGGCAGTAACCCCCAAGTTTCCCTGAGGAGGACACCCTGCAGGGAGTTCACCATGTCCATCTAACAAGAGATGATGCTATTCTGGTTTGTATCGTTCTAGCGATCTCCCAAAAAGGACAGTGGTCATGATCATACCATTCCCTAAACTCTTTATAAAAGCTTGTGGAGGTGTTGGGGTTATGACTCAGGGAGGAAGTCCGGCAGAGGGCTTCATGCGCCGGGTTCAGCCGACCTGTCGGCACAGCGGACCCACCCAATCACTCAGGAATCACTCAAGATCGGAGTGCTCGGAGAGGGGGGAGAAGAGGGACCTTGCAACACACACCCCGGAGTATCAGCCTGGACCGGACCTACCAGGACGCTGTGCCAGGGAGCACACCCCTCAAACTCAGGGTCCTGCATGCCCGAGGGACCCAGTCGGGAGGCACGTGCACCACAGTCACCAGGTGCTGTGGGGATGAGAGTCGCTCCTGCTGGGAAGGGGGTGATCCCTTCACTCCTCCCGTACTCATCCTCACTGAGCCGCCCCTCCCGGAGCCGTCCCCCCCCATGGCCTCCAGCAACCCAAGGGGAGGCACGCCCAGTCGTTCCGGAGGACCCAGGATTGCGCAGGGGCTAGTAGTATCTGCTGGGCACCCTCTCAGGTGGACCCCAGGTCAGGTGTTACATACTGGATTCCACACGGGCCCTGTTAGGCCCAACGGCTAGGTCTAGGGGGTTATCCCAGACCGTGGCCACGCTGGGCCAGTCCGGCCTGGGTTAAAGGCTGGACCTTTAAGAAAGGCCGACGGTAGGCCTCCAGCAAACCAGTTCAGACCCGGGTCTGCAGCTGCAGGCCCTAAGCGGGAAACCGGCCCAAACGTTTTTCGTTTGAGCCTGGCGGCCAAGGATTGAGGCTGCCACTTCCCCGCGGGTCTGATCTGAACCGCAGATCGACTGGAACGGTCCACATCACGGCGCGGCTTCACCAAGAAGCCAGGCTGAACAGGCCACCGCCGGTACTTAGTACCGGCCAGCGTTCTGTTCTGGACACTTTGAGGCCGCGGCGCTGAGGAGCAGCAGCGCTGCACTATGTTGGGTTTAGCGCAGCTCCAGGCAGAGCGCTAGGTGTACCGCTAGCTGCAGAGGCGAGAGAGAGAGAGAGTAGAGACTTACCTGGCACTTACCTGTGAGCGCCATAGCTCCAGCGTCAAAGGCAGGTCTTCAGCAGCTCCAAGGTGGCACCTTGTATCCGCAGGTTGGTGTCTGGACACAGGATCAGGGAGCGAGGACTCTCCTCCTCTCGGTTCTTCTTCTTCTCCTCCATCTTCATCTTCTCTTAACATTCCCCCTTCTTCGTTACTATTGGACAGAGATCGATGGTGGAATAACGGTGACCTCAGGACTAAGACTGTTCCAGAGTAGGAAGTTGGGAGGACTATTTGGAGGTCTGACACGAGTGACATTTCGAGATTCTGTAACTCCGACATTTCGAGATTCTGTAGCTCCGACATTTCGAGATTCTGTATCTTCGACGTTTCGGGATTACTATTTCGGTGACTTTGTGTTGGCGCCATCTCCTCCTCCTCTCTTCGTCTCTTCTCCCCTACATTCGTCCGTGCGTGGTGTGTACAGGCTCTGGTGCCATCTTCCGTGTTTGGAGCGCCAGGCCTTCTCACCCGATGAATGCATGTGCATGAGCCTGTGTATAGTCCGAGTCAGATGTGAGTTCAGATCCATGTTTATCAGTCTTTCGCTGCATTATATTGCTCTTTGTATTGGTCGGTTCTGGGTTCTGCATCATACTTGTGTTCACTTCACTAGTATGCAACATCAGGTCTATGCGGATCCTGACGGACATACGTGCCCCCTGGCCGAGCGCACACTCAGTGTGTGAGTGGTAGTGCGTCAACCTAACGCCGCGCCGGCGGCCTATGCACGAGGCTGCGGGGTTTTGAGCTCGCAACCTCAGACCACAATGTGCATTTCCGACCGGTGCCTTAACCACTGGGCCATCCGTTTTAAAAATTTCATTCGTTTCAAGTTTCGAACATAATGGAAGGACGCGCAGTGTGGACTGTTGTTATAAGGGATGCTGGACTCGGTTTCCAGCTCATAATAAAAAATTCCCTTGTAAAAAAAAAACAAAACATTCTGATTTCTTGTAAGCCCTCCCTGATCAATAAAAAGGACAGTCATCATGATCATACCCTTCCGTAAATTTAGTAATTTGAAATTTAAAATTTTCAAACGTTTGGTTTCTTGTCTGCCATCCCTGATCGAGAAAGCCAGACATGCACCATGCTGCCCAATCATTTGCACCGCAAAGACAGAAGGTTCTTTCACACACAAGTCTAACAGAGAAAGAAAAGAAGCTTGAAAACAGGAAATTGAATATACATATACACACAGAGAGACAGACAGACAGACAGACAGAGACAGAGACACACAGAAAGACGCACGCACAGAGAGAGAGAGAGAGAGAGAGAGAGAGAGAGAGAGAGAGAGAGAGAGAGAGAAGATTACCCCCCTGAGCTGACCGATTCAACTTACTTATCGCTTTTGCGGCTTGAGAAACCTTTGCCGGTTGTGTTGGGCAGTCCTTTGCCAAGTGGGTTACACTTCCACATCTTTTACAGCCACCTCCCTGCCGAGAACCACATCAGGAAACAAGGGCAGAGAAAAAGAAGAAAGAAAAGAAAAACATGTGCAGCTCTTGTCATCGATCGGGAACATAGGAGAACAGGACATCCATATCAGCCCTTATCCACAAGAGGTGCACACATCCCAGGCAAAATTTCTGACATCTGATATACAGATCCGGTGCTGATCTCCTCCTCCATTGTTCTTCACCTCTATACCTTGGGAGTTTCCCTTCCCTTCCCCTCCCCGTCTCTCTCTCTCTCTCTCTCTCTCTCTCTTTTGAAATTTCTAATACTCCCCTAGTGATTGCTGTTACTTCTGTTATTCCCAACTCTATTACGCTCTTCAAGTCATTCGTTCCTTGCACGATTGACCGCACCATGTCCTTACTTCCACTTAATTATTGGCTCTTATTGTTTAGCATTTCAAAGGTAATTCAATAGCCTGTATCTGGTGAAAAATTCAAAATACGCTTTAAAAGTTTAGAGAAGTTTACACAGATTCTGATCACATTGAGGTTTAAGAAGAAGACATGCAGATTCGGCTACCGGAAAGGCAGGCTTGGAAAGCAGACTCATCTTCGGGAAAAGGATGGAGATTGTCAGGAAGGCGTAATGAAGACATTGGACATGTCACAGGTCATTCCCAAGCCTACATCTGATGGGAAGTGATCACCAGATGCAAGTCCCACACACTTCTCCACATAGTTCCACAAAGATCCCTGGTTCCATACACTTCCACGCGCTTCTCACACTTCCGCACATGCACATGTGGGTGCACACACACACACACACACACACACACACACACAATCAGTTGTATGTTTGTCTGTTTTCCTGTTGTTGTCTGTCCTCCCCCTAATCTTTTCTAAGTGTTTTTGCTTGCCCAAACTGAGCACCCTTAAGTAGTGCCAAACAGTCGGTGGTTCCTCGTTTGGAGTGCCTACTGCACTCTTATGGGGGCCGCTCAGTTCGGGATGTCTGTGTTGCCTGTAGGTGATGCTGGATGCTCGTCAGAGTGACTCCCTGGCTCAGTGGGTGGTGGGAACCAACAGTCTGCAGCATACTTGCGGCGCACCGACCTTGTGCGCTGCGCGGTGCGCGGAGCCGAGGTGCGCAGTGCGCTGCGCTCAGGGCCGGTGCGCTGGGGGGTGCGCCCTGGCAGGGCGCAGGTGCGCCGGGTGCGCACACCATTTACTTTATTTTTTTTATCTTACTATTTTTTTATTTTAGGGAGAGAGAGAGAGAGAGAGAGAGAGAGAG